ATTGCTGCTCTTGAAAAGGATACTAGATTTAAATTGATTATTGTACAAGAAATAAAAGCAAAAATAAAAATTAATTGGACAATTATAAAAGCTGTCGCATTTGCTCATTTGCATGTGGGGTTCTTAAGGCCTAGTATCGATAATTGTGATTTGTTTAACATGAATAAACAAATACAAAATATCTCGTCTCAAATTCCTTAAACTTTTAGATGTAACAATTTAACATGGTACGAATAAAGCAAACATCACATGTTCCAAGTGTGAAACTGACTTTTGTTGGCCTTATCTTTGGAGTGACCCGTATAATTCAAACAACAGAGTTGAAATATAAGCTCCTGATTATCCAAAAAATTGGAGAAGGTAAATAAAACATCGTATTTTCCCATGTTTTAATTCTACATTCAGAATCTTGGAAGAATCGAACTCAAATTTGAAAAACATGTTTACAACAGCGGCTGTCTTCAACGTTTTTGGAGTACTTAAATTTCAAAATTGTCTGCCTTCAGCAGCAGCCATGGTATTTCGGCATAAATTGCATGATTAGTCCTCAACTATAAATCTAGTAACAAGTTAGTCTTCAATTTTTGTAAAGTAGCAAGTTTGTCATCATCAGTTATTATATTTGCATAATCTTTTATATAGCAGAGCTACCATCTAAATCTATGTTAAATTATTACATAGTCCTTGTCTGTTTAGTTTTATAAAGTCGAGTCACAAAACAAATTTTTAAAATAATTATATGACTTTAGTGATTGTGCAATGCAATGAAATGTTGGGAACCAATTCATCATTATTGCAACGACTCAATACGATTAAAGAAAGAACATGTAATATATTTGTAAATTTTAATTCTTAGTCTTGTTTAAATTAGCCCCCCGTTTTGTTTTGATTTTTCAAGTCAAAAAAATTAATTTTTTTGGCGTTACTTAACATGATCAGTCATTTTTTTCATATTAGCTGGTCAGGTTGAGCTGGTGACAGGCGGAAAACCTTACGTGATGTTTGGAGATGGTAAGTTGTGTGCTTGCAAGCCAATAAGTGAGGCAGACTTGGCATCGTTTATTGCAGATTGTGTGTTGAATAAAGATAGGATTAATCAGATTTTGCCAATTGGAGAACCGGGGGCTGCATTGACGCCACAGGAGCAAGGTGAAATGATGTTTAAACTTGGAAAGAACCTAAGTTCCTCAAAGTACCTATCCAAATAATGGACTTTGCTACTGTAGTTCTTGATTTCCTTGTGAAAATTATTCCTTCACTGGAAGATGCAGCTGAGTTTGGGAAGATTGGAAGGTACTACGCAGCCGAGAGTATGCTGGTTCGGGATCAAGATACCGGTGAATATGATGCTGAGAGACTATTGCCTAATTCTGATTTTTGGCTCTAAAAATAAATAAATAATAATAATTTAATTTTAAAAGTTGGTGGGTCAAGTGACCCATCAGGACCATGAGTATGTCCGCTAGTGGCTGTATGTATATGTTGAGAAGAAGCCAAGAAATTGGCTGAGTCATAGTCAGAGCTGAGTCAGAAGCACTAAAATTTGCCCAGTCATGATCTTGGGAATTGACGCTGACGTATCCATTTACCATTTAAATATATATATAATTTTCTTGAATTGAAACAAGTGTCTAAACTACACTTCATAAAAGCTGAGGAGATAATAATAATCCACTTCAAATATATTAATTCCATGTTTGACTCTCATTTCTCAAAATTCATTTTTCCTTAATTTGTGCGACGAGTTATTATGAACATTTCAATTTAATACATTTTGATCAATAACATAAGTTAATTAGATGGATTTACAAGAGGAAGGGAATTCATTTTCAATTACATATTTTATAAAACCCACAAATTTTATCAACAATCAATCGCATATTTCATCAACGTATATCAAATCCATCAAAAAATCAAGAGGGCAATTGTAGCCATTGAACTCCACATGGCTTCCCGCCTATGTGTTGATGATGTCCAACATGCGATTTATAATCATATTTTACTTATCTTGTCCACTTGAATGTACAATCTGTTTGAGTTCTATATTCAGTTTCGTGGCTGGATTAGAAATTCGACCGAACTATAAATTTTACAATATTTTGACACATATAATAATAATTTGAATCTCTCAAGTTTCAAAAGTATGCGTCGGTGCAATCAAAATATTTCATACTCCCATAAGTATTACTATAATGTAACTGTAATGACACGAAGGACATTTTAATTAGTGGTTTTGGTGTTTAATCAATAATTACAAGATGATTAAACCTAGCGTGTTGTCTGTTGCTGGGGCAGTTTGTTAGTTAATACACAATTTTGGCAAAAAACAATTAAAAATTAAGGCCCTGTTTGAGCCCCATTATTTCTTTATTAAAATGAAAAATATGACCATTATCCATCACATCAAGCCATCATATTTGACTTTTTATCTTTTGTATGGGACCATAACAACTATATTTTTCATTCTCATTTTTACAATAATGTGGTTCAAATGAGGGTTAAATCAAGAGGTCCTACGCGATTTGATATTTTTATTAGAATATTATACAGTGATTTTTTTAGATGTGATTTGACATGTGGTTGATATTTAGCCTCCATTAAATTATATTTCATTTTTCTCTCTTTTATTTTTTAATCCTATAGTCTGCCATAAAATAATATTACACGTAAATTAAAATTTTTTTTTCAACAACTCATTTTTCAAAAAAAAAAAAAAAAAAAAAAACAAACCCTTTTTAAAAAAAAAAAAAAAAAAAAAACTATTTCACCCTTTTTCATTTAAAAAAATGGGAGCCAAATGGGGGCTTAAATATATCATTGTATAAAAAAATTTAATGCATTTTTTGGAATCAAATTTTTCTGATTGAAAATTGTAACAAACCAACAAATTACTTAAACTAGGTTCTATATGGTAGAATAAACCAAATTACTAAAATTTAACATTTAGTGTATTATACTTTTTTGAATTAAGCCCTCGTTTGAGTCCCCTTTTTTTCCATCAAAATACATTTTTCAACAATAATTTATCTCCATTTCAATCACATATTTTTCAATAAAATAATGTTACATGCAAATCTATGACTTTTCTTTATTTTTCAACCATACATTTCTCATCAACACGCTATTCACAAATGTATTTTTTTTTACAAGAATGAGAATCAAACAAGAGCTAATTGACTACCATACTGATTGAGGAGTGGCACCGGAGTAGATTCGGGGAGGATGCCAAGGTGGAAATTTTGTTCTTATTTCACTCGGTAAAACCGTAAAACTGTAAAAGTTTTAAAATCAATATATAAAAAAAAAAGAATTATTGTGTAAAATAATCTTTAGGAGTGGTTTTTCTTCTCTAATATAGATTATTAAACACTATTTAACACGCAAAATGATATGTAATGGATTTATGATCATCAATAATTGGCTGCTTTATTTTGTCTTATTTTCAATTCTACTATACATGTAACACGACTAGATTGATTGGCATCAAGTTCATGTCCATTATTAACTAGATTTTATTCCCTTCATTTAATAAGAATTTTGTTAACTAGAGCTGGATTTCTGAAGTTGGTAAGAATATTTCGTGAAACTGTATTATTTTGGAGGGCTAAGAATGTTTCATATTACAAACACGATTTTTTAGATGTAAAATTGGTCTTTGAATATCAAAAACTTTGTGAATGAATAATTTAAGCATGTAGATAGATAGAGATGAGAACAAACCACAGTGTGTGTGGGTGTGTGTGTGTGTATATATATATATATATATATATATATATCACTCCGCCTCCTGGGGCATAGCCCAGTGATGTAAAGGACAAGAGTGAGGTTCTCTCATACTTTGTTGGCAGTCGCAGTGTGTGGGTTCGATTCCTGAGACATGGAATTATGTACTTTAGGTGATTAGGTTAGGTGATAAAGGTGATATTTTATCAACTTTGCCTATTAAAAAATTAGCATTTTGACGGAGTTATATAAAACGATGTCTTCATTCTTACATTTAAAGTTTGAGATTCGAACATTGGTCTTCAAGGGACTAACCATTTAAGAATGATTTTGTTGTGTATACAGAAGGAGCTTCACAAAACACCTTCAGAGCACACATAGTAGGTGGGCCCTCCATGTGGGACCCACATAAAAAATTCAAAAAATCCCCCTCTCCTTACTCTGTGTGTTTCGGTTCTGCACTTAAAAGTCCCTTCTTTCTCTTAGGGGAAGCCTAAGGCTAGCTATCTTATTCCTTGCTTGACTTCTCGACTTGCC